TCATGTCCGGTCCCTGGATGGGACGCGGAGTTTCTGAGTGGTCTACCCCAAGAGGTAGTTGACACCATCACTTCAGCGAGAGCACCGCCTACGAGACACGCCTACCCTTGAAGTGGAACCTGTTCATTGAGTGGTGTTCTTCTCGCCGAGAAGACCCCCGAAGATGCCCAATCAGAGTTGTGCTGTCCTTTTTGCAGCAAGGGTTGGAGCGAAGGCTGTCTCCCTCCACCTTTAAAGTTTGTCGCTGCAATCGCTGCTAACCACTACCCCGTAGAAGGAGGTCGTTGGGGAAACATGACCTAGTCGTCAGGTTCCTTAAGGGGGCGAGAAGGTTAAATCCTCCACGGCCCCCCTCTATTCCCTCTTGGGACCTGACTCTGGTGCTCACGGCACTACAGCAGGGCCCATTTGAGCCGTTTTGCAGGCGGTTGAGCTGAAGTTCCTTTCAATGAAGACTTTGCTCCTGCTAGCATTGGCCTCCATCAATAGGGTAGGGGACCTGCATGCATTTTCGGTCGACGATTCGTGCCTAGAGTTCGGGCCGGCTGATTCCCAGGTAACCCTGAGGCCCTGGCCCGGCTACGTTCCCAAGGTTCCCGCTACTCCCTTCAGGAATTAGGTGGTGATAGACCGGACGCAAAGCTTCAGGACCTCAGACCAGCTCTTGTCTGTCACGGAGGCCGGCAGAAGGGCAATGCCATCTCAAAGCAGAGGATGGCCCACTGTATAGTGGATGCCATCACCCTTCCACAGAATAGCCTTGAGTCTGTGTTTCCCCGGCAGACTTCTGCCATTCCAAGAGGGTTCACTCATATCCATTCTTCTATATGCACCTAAGGGATGTCCATATGTGTATTGCTTCCGAAACCTCCTTCGGGAAGGTTCGAGCTTCTGTAATGTCCCTGTTCCAAATAGAGCGGGTGCGTTTACCCAGTGTTATCCAGTCTTACTCAGTGGGTAGTGCCATAGTAGCAGTAGCTGGTCCTCTTGTGCAGGCTCTGGCCTACGCCAAAAAGTAGGGGTGGCTTCCACAGGACACTGGAAGGGGTAGGTAGCTGTGGCCTTTTGGTAGGATCCCAATTCGTCGGTCTTCCGACGTGACGTCGAGAGTGACCGACTGAAAGGGAATGTCTCGGTTACATATGTAACCCTCGTTCCCTGAAGGAGGGAATGGAGACGTCACGTCCCGTCGCCACAGCTCCTGTACCACCGCTGAGCAGCCGGGTCACCGGCTCGGCTCCTCAGCGAAAACCTAAATATGCGCTGCATCTGCTGCCTACTTATACTCACGCTGTGATCAGCAGCAGCTGGATGCAATAATCGCATGCCAATGTGCATTGGCTCGTCTAGTTTACACTCGAAATAGATTGGTCCTTCTAAGCGAGATCGCAATTTGTCGGTCCTCCGACGTGATGTCTCCGTTCCCTCCTTCAGGGAACAAGGGTTACATACGTAACCGAGACGTTTTCATTTGATTTAAAATGGTACGTTCTTGTTGTGTTAAAGTCTGCAATAGTGAATTACATGATAAAAAAGGTAAAAAACTCACCAAGAAGAAAGATATTTTAGGTCTCACACTTGAAAAAAAGACTAAACAACAAGAGGCGTCGCCACGTTAGATGGCCTGGGATGCAGGGGTGATATGCAAAATCATCATATTTGCTAACATATCTCCGGTTATGTTCGTTTACCCACGACGTTTTCATAAAGGTAAGAAAGAGATTTTTTTAGATGTGCTTATTTTCTGTTTTCTGAATTTTTAGGGAAAATAATGAATTTAATCCATTTTGGAATAAGGCTGTAATATAAAATGTGGAAGAGTGAAGTGCTGTGAATACTTTCCGGATGCACTGTAAGGATGTCATTGAGGCCGGAGGTGATGGCTTTTTTTTAATAAAATGCTCTTTAATGTGACGTATTAACAAAGCTAGAACATTTTATCTGCAACATTTTGAGGATGTTGTTGAGGTAACAATTTATACAATATTGTCAGTAAAACACTGGCACAATGTTTCAAGATAAGAAAGAACATTCTCTCAGCCACATTAGGAAAATGTTATAGCCTATGTAAAACAAACCTGTCTCCAGGTCAGCGAAACTCTCCCTTCCACAATAATTAACTGTACATTTTTCATGACTTTTTCAGTTTACGTATTTCTTTTTTATCTTTTACGTATTTACATATACAAAAATCAATCAAAAAAGTTTAAATCTAGGATGACACAATTCTTTTTTATCTTTATACCTTTTTCACATGCACATTTGATATGCCTAGACATCTTTCAGTATTGGGGCTGGATCTTACTTTCTTAGAATTATATGACAGTTGCATTAATTTTGGGTGTATTGCTTCTTTTGAATAACAGCTAGATTTGTTTTCATCCAGAACCCAAACTGCCTGCTTGAAGATGAACACGGATGACGCAATAAAAGTCTCCATTTACAACAAAGGTACTGTAACTGTAAAGGTACTGCTTATTTTCAGTTTTCTGAAGTAGCCAACATTATATTCACATGTTATTTAGGGACAATGCTATTAAACAGACAACCAGGGAGCAGGTGAGCAGAAACGGGTCATGTACCATGAAATGTCTTGCAATCGTTTTATGCATAGGTGTAAAGAGTTATTTTATTTTATTTCACTAACGTTGCTGAAATTAAATATTGTTTTTGGGGGTTTGTACTTAACTTAAGTGTAATTTAAACTGAATACTTCACTAAAATACATTTCTAATGTATCTCATTTTTATTTCTTACAATTTTAAAAAGTACTGACTACATTTTTGTACATTTTCATTTCATATAGTTAGGCTAGGTGTGACTAAACAGTAAGTGGGAGCAGTTAAAGGGGTCATTGTGACGAGAGGGGTGGGGCCGAGAGCCGTGGGAACAGAGCGAGGAGTAATTGCGAATGCGCGACACCTGCGCCACTCACTGGTCTCGAGTCTCATGGAGGAGCTCCGGAAGGATACAAAGGAGGAGTGACGACAGGGAAAGACGAGAGAGGACCAGGCCTGGATTTTATTTTGTGTTTTGGTTTTGTTTGTGCGCGACAGTCGTCCGCGAGGGGCTGTCGCGCTGTTTTGAGTTTATTTTATTATTAAAGTTTGTTTAAGTGTTCGCCGGTTCCTGCCTCCTTCTTCCCGACCTACAGACTTTGTTACAGTCATATTATGCTTTTTTAAAGATCATTATTTTGTGTATTTGGTGTAACAGAATATGGTGACATGCTTTAATGTTCAAAAAACACATTATTTTTCAAATACTGTACATTATTGTAGGTTCGTTTTCTACAAATTCCCTCCTTCCGACAAACGCAGTCTGCTCTGATTGGCCAGCTGACCCAGTGCATTGTGATTGGCCATAACGCCCCTTACCATAATCGCGAGCTTCAGCATTCCAAATAAATGTAAAGACAGTAAATAATGTCATTAGTTTTACCATCAGTTCAAGCCCGAAAGGGGAACAGAGTCGCGTGACAGACACAGTGATGAAGCTGGTATGTGTTTGCAGTACACAAGCCACGGTTAAGACAACTGACTCCACTGTGATGTGACCCTGTATCTCTCTCTCTCTCTCTCTTGCGTGAGTCTTAACTTTGATAAAGATCGAAATCGCATCATGTGACCCCTTTAAGAAAAAAACACATTGCAGCCAGCTGAGACGATGACCCACCAGGCTGGAGGAGATGGTCGTCTTCACACGACACCACTCAGTGTCACTAACTGAATGTAACTTACTTGTGTGTGCGCAGAAGAAAACTGACTGCTGTGGCGTAAACTCAGGATGTCTGATAGTTTTTCAGTGATCTTAAAGTAAAGCATTATACAGGTATGCCAAACTTGGGAATCTTTATTACATGGGTTCTCAACTCTGGCCCTTGAGGTCCACTTTACTGCAGAGTTGAGATCCAACCCTAATAAAATACACCTGCACAGGCTAACCAAGATCTTCACGATTACTAGAAAGGTACAGGCAGGTGAGTTTGATTGAGGTTGGAGCTAAATTATATAGGAAGTGAACTCTGAGGGCTAGAGTTGAGAATCCCTGCCATGAAGGTTTTTAGTGTCTTATGCTGCTTTTCATGTCAGAAATAAGAAAAATTCTCACTTCATTTTAAATACTTATGTTAACCTTATGCACCTCAGATTGGATCTGCCTGCACAAACATTGTTTTAGACAACTGTGACAGGCACAAAATTATGCCTCACTAGTTTGTGGAGTCCTTTGGACACAGAATAGCAATGATAGACTGTTTTGAGATTTCCACAGAGAAGCCATTCAGTGTGAAAGTGTGTGTCAAAATGTCTTCTACCTACAAGCACTATTTAGTATTTGACAGATCGTCTAGCACAGTGTTTCTCAACCAGGGGTCCGTGGACCCCTAGTGGTCCTTGACGCAAGGCCAGGGGGTCCGTATAAAGTATGAATTTTTGTATACATTTTGTATATTTTGACATGTTCCCATGAAAGAAAAATCCAATATAGCTGATGATATGGCCATGATGATATGGTTAACTAACTTGAATTATACTTGACTACATTTGGTCCTCACAAAGACATACATAGATGAGTCAATTTTGTTCTGGGGATCCTTGAGGATGGTTCTGAATTGGACTGGGGTCCGGTACGCCAAAAGGTTGAGATTCACTGGTCTAGCACTTCTAAGAATCCATGCAGAAAGGGTCATCAGAAATGTTTGGCAGAAGCATCAAATCATCTTATTATTATTAATTTATTAAGCTTTCTTATACTTGCACTGTGTCCACTTAAGAAAACAGTGTGTTGATGATTCATCATGCTTGTCACATCTTCTGTTATGCATTTTGAAACTGATTTTAACACAGTGTTGCATTAATAAAGTATGTATAATGCCATTTTCATAAATGTGTTTTTGGTTGTCTCCTTGTTATTAGTACTTATCAGTACTTGTTATCAGCCAAATGAAGTATGGAAAATTGTGAACAAACAGGGTAAGGTTTAATGGTAGAGACTCACATGATG